GAGGTGAGGAGGGAAAGGTTAATAAACAGTATATAACTCGAAGAGACTGTCTAATAAACTCCAGGAGACTACTTACGTGCAGACTATATTAATCCAAGCTTTTTAATTACCAATCTCCTCTCTTGGCTTATTCTATGATTATATGCGAGAGGCTGAGAGGAGGAGGAGGAAGAGGACTACACCTTCCACTTGAGATTTTATCTATCTGAATTTACTGCAATAAATGCTTAATGAAGAGATAGGAAAAAATAAATGAAATTTTATCCATTAACATTTTATTTCATAATTTTAATGATTTTTATAGACTCTTCTTATCTCCCTCTATAGGGGGAGAATAAATTTATATTAAAAATAATTTTATATTCTAATTAAAATAATTTTTATTTCCTATTTTGTAATTACTTTTTTTATTTATATTATATTTAATTAAACTTTTATAAGTACTATAAACTTTATTTGATGTCGTTTAAAACTGCTATTAAAAAAAAAAAAATTCAATTTTTAATTATTTAAAAAAAAATCATTTTTGTTATTATTTCCAGGGGAGAAATTATTCCCCAGAGGGAGAGAGAGAGAGAGAAAGGGAGAGATTTGGCGATCGTTATAACCATAATAACAAGGGGAGATGTATGCAAAACGAAGAAAATGGAAGAGAATTGCAGAAAGAGCAGCGGGTAAGAAAATGGCAAGGGATGAAGAAGGAAATAAAAGGAGAGAGAGAGGGGAGGGGGGTGAAGAGTAAGTTTGAAGAGTTTGAACTTGGGCAATTTGCGAATCGTTTTAATAAGATTCATCTCACCCCTTTCTTCACCCCTTCCCTTACTCGTTCATCTTTTACATTCCATATTCTACTTCCCCCCCCCACTCCTTCCCCATCACCTAATGCCTTAATGTCCCTTATCTAAATAATTATTCCTGACTTATCATTTCTTTTTCGTAGAATTTAAACTGAAAATCTTTTCAAACTCAAAAAAAATATCTTCTTTTCAAAAAAAAAGGAAAATATTTTTTTTTGTTTTCATTAAAAAATTAAAAATTATTAAAAATAAATTTCAAAACTAATGAATGTGCAGGAAGTAGTGACATATGTTTCCTATTAATAGGGACAAAATGAGAGAGAAATTTCACTCTGGAGGTGGTCCACAACGACGACGGACAAGTGGAAGACAGACGATATGGAAATGGTTGAAAAAAAAGTATATAGTCATAGAGAGAATAATGTCAGGTTAAGCGAGAGTAACTCTTTCAATTTTTTTTTACTTTTTTGTCAAGAGAATATTATGAAAAGCGCAACTGTAACGGAATCTGTCGTCGTTTGTTGACGTCTACAATGTCTTCATTGAGTCTCTTTTTCTCTCTCTTTCTCTCTCTTCCTCTTTGGGTAAAACGGAAAATAAAGCGACGCTCGTTATTAAATCTGCCAAGGAATTTCACGGACTTATTAATTAGACGTAACGTAACACGAAACGAACCATTGAAGATTCCTGTTACCAACATTTACCGACATTAACAACCAGCAATGGTTCATATCCGTACTCGGAAGAGGGAAAATCTTGGAACTAAAACTGACGGGAAAAATTCTTTTATATGAAATGAAATTTATCTGCTCTGTATGTGAAAAATTTCCGCGTAACATCTTTTTCATACTTGTAAAAATGTGTGTATATATATATTTCTTGGAGGATATAAACAAACTTGTCAGTGTCAGTTATTTCAATGAAATTTAACGCGATGAATGGCAAAAGAAGACGTGCGTGAGTTTTTCAAAACACAAGTCCCTCATTTTGCTATATTACATATATATATATATATATATATATAAAGAGAGAGAGAGAGAGAGAGAGAATTTTTAAAAACAGAAGAAAAAAGGGTTCTATTTTTCTCCATTCTAGAAAGCCACACTCCACCACAATACGAATTTCTGTCCGTCTGTCTGTCTATCTGCTGCACACCCTTTTCGTTCTTCTCTTTTCCTTTACTTCACGCGCGCGCCCAACATTTTTTTTTATTTTATCTTTTCGTTTGTTATTGAAGTCCCTCTCTTTCTCTTTCCTTCTTTTCACTTTATACGCGGCGGATCAATTTCAACGTAAGCTCGCACGATATGCGCGTCCACTTTTGTCTCCCGGACACGAAATTCAATCGAGCATTTCCGCTTCACGCGCCTTGATATAATCGCAAACAAGTCTCGAGAGACACCATCGCCGTATATAGGAAAATGTAAATACTCTTTCTCTCTCTCTCTCTCTCTCTCTCGCTTTCTTTGAAAATGGATTGAAAAACCCCAAATGAAGAAATAAAAAAAACAGGATTTTTTTTTCTTTTTATCAAAGGGAGAATAAATAAAGGCCGTTTTTTTGTTATAATTTTAATTTTCAGTGAATATTCAACTGTGAGGCGAAATACGTTGATTTGGGCCGGAACTAGATAGAGCCCGGTTGGGGCCACACTAGGCCCTGATCGGGCGGAAATAGGGGTACAATGGGGCTGAACTAGGGTTTCATGTGGGTTTGGGACTTTTTGATCTGGGCCCTACTAGAGCCACTATAAGCCTTGTTCTGGGGGAAATAGGGGTAAAATAGGGCTGAATTAGGGCTTCTGTAGCACCGGACGAGCTATTTTTGGACTTAATAACTAATTTCGCGTCTCTAATCAAGGTCAAACCAAAACTTGGCCGGGTTTCGCTTTTACCCGACATCGGCCCTGTCAGCGCCAGACCAGGCCCTAGTCGGGCTCTGGTTAGAATTCAACTAAAATAGGGTTTTTTTTCTGTAATTTTGACCGGATTTACTATGTTTTTATGATGATTCAAAGCTTTTCTACGTGTTCCCCACCAGGGCCCTTTTTCAAAACTCCTCCCCAGTTATAACGATGAGAAAACTAACAAAAGTGATTTAGTTTCAAAACGTTTATAATTATTTCCAAGCTACTGCAACTGAAATTCATTAAACCTCACATCCACTTGTTAAATACTATAACACACGTGTCGAATTATATGCACAAGGATTATTAGTTGGCGCACACAAAGGGAAGAAGCATCTTCAAAGAGAAAGAGAGACAAATTTTGCAATTTTTTTCCAGACAAATGACTAGATGATCGATTCTAGTTTACGAGTCACTCGAGGGAGAGAGAGAGAGCCAAAAAAATGGGGGGGGGGGCAATATGAGAAAGAGGAAAGCCAAAAAAGGGAAAAAGAAAGAGAGAGCCAAAAAAGAAGATAAGAGACAGAGAGAGTAGAATTCCCCTCGAGCATTCTTTGTGAATTCACCTGCAGTGAATTCATCACACCGTGGGGGATTTCGTTTGCGCTCAGGTGGGTTATGTAAGCCGTTCCTAATTATTCCCCGGACAATCCTGAGGGAGTAACACACTATAAAGTATATCGCATCTCTCGTTTCATGTTACATCATTGATTACAAGTCCTTATATATATATGTGTAACCTTAGGGGGGGTTATGTTCGTCCATCCGGTTTTTAGAAGAGGGATGACGAGGGTCAATTAAAACCTTCTCCTTTTCCCTATCCCCAAATTTAAAGGCGCAGCTGAAATGTATAAACCAAAAAGGTAATTATTGTCTAAACTTGTGACAGCCTTTTTTTTAATATAAAATAAAAATTTTTCTTTCTCCATACTTGAAAATGGAAAATTGGTATATAAAACTAAAGGATGACGCCACAAGTGAAAAATTTCTCACAAACTGATTGATTCTTTTTTTTTGCTTTATTTTTCAGGGAGGAGAAATTTTTGATTCCCTTTCTCACGTTCCTCCTGTGGCTAGTCGGAAATATTTTCGAGATATAGAGAGGAGAGCCGGCAACGGCGAGAAATAACTCTTTCGCCTTCTCGCGTTTATAACTATATAGAAGGAGCGACGACGAACCATAGTGGTGGTAGTGATAGCACACACACACATATACTTGAAATCGATAACTTGCCGGAAGGAGTTGCAAAAGCGTGTGCAGCCCTGTTCTACACGCGAAGAGCAAACGGAGATCCATAGGAAATTACGTCGAGAATTAATGATTTCGAGTCCTCGATATCGAAACGCGGGCTTCTACGAAAGAGTGACTGAGAGAGAGAGGAGGATATCGATGTGAACGCCGGGAAAACCGGCTCCTTTAAATTAATAGGCGTCGAATGAATCCACCCCGACGATCACTTAACGGGGCGACACACTCTACAATAGACACCGCGCGCATTATTATTCACTGAAAGGATTCTCCCCCCACTTCTCACTTTTCTTTTTTTTTATATGTATATTATATCTCAAGACCGGTTTTTCAAAAGCGGACGTCCATTATATTTTCGTTGATAGGCCTATGATAAGAAGGAAATAATGATTCAGGAAACTGTCTACAATAACGGTTAACTATATACATATATATATAGTATGTATAAATACAAAAAAGATTGGAAAAGTTTTTTGTTACACTTCGCTACTTAATTGAAAATTTCCTCCGAACCAGTTTTTGCATGTATAACTAGAAGAACGGGATGAATTTCTTTTTTATTGTTACCAGCGATATTGTTGATTAATTATATGTAGTTTGAAATTAGTACAAGAAACAAGGGATAAAGCGCCTACTTCCCGAGGGTTTTGTGGTTACGAAATAAATACAGTTCCCTTGCTCCTATTTAAGCTCTAAGTTAATTTTTGACTCTAATAAGTAAAACAGTCCTATGAAAGTCCGAAGATTTTCAAAACGGTGACATTTTAATTTCTGCTCTAGATTTTTTTTACAGAAATAGAGTAAAAACAGCGCCATTTTAATTTCCGTCCTATTTTTACGAAAAACTAGAGTACAAATAAAAATGGCACCATTTTTACTCTACTTTTTTATAACTAGTTTTAAATCTCCAGAAATCTCTAACGGAATTCCATGAATTTTCCCTGACCTGGAGAGTTTTCCTGACCGTGTTAGACACCCCGGTGTCACTATGACTTACATTCAAAAAAAAAAAAGGAAAAAAAAAATTTTAAAAAGAGTAGAAACTTACCGGAATGGCGACGCAGTCCTCGAGTTCAGCGAGAGGTGCCTCGGAACAGAAAGTACCCTCGGTGAGGAAGGGCGGCCGCGGGGGTGGCGGCAGCCGGAACTCAGGGGGTGGCCCGGAGCAGTCCGGGCACTCCGTGGTCTCCAGCGTCTCCAACTCCTCCATCCTCCTCCCGAGCGTGCTGAAAACCACAAAAGAAAATCAGTGACGATTAATCTTATTGGCAGAACTATTAATCGCGGTGTGCGCGCGCGAAAAGTTACCCCATTCCTCGCGCCTTTTTCATTCACCAATTTTTTCAAAAAAAAGGCAAATTAAAAAAAAATTCCTGACTTGGGCCCTATCAGAGCCCCACTAGCCCCTAGTCAGGCTGAAACAGGGCCCTTGGGTTTTTTCTCTTAATACTTAATTTAAAATTTTTCTGTTTTGGTTCAATTTGAATATTGTAGATATTCTTTTTTCTGGCATAGTGCGGAACATTGTAAAGTATATTTTTATACTGAAACTATATAGTGGGATGTTTCTTTTTTAAACCTCGCCCCAAACGATCATTGCACCAGGTCTTGAAGATGGCGACCTAGTTAGCATAGGAAGTACCCTAGCGTTGAGGGGGCGGGTCAAGTCGTTCCAGTCGTTGGATCCCGCGGGTTGAGATGCTATAGTAGTAGTGGTGGTATATGCTAATGTCAGAACTTAATTACAATCTCATAATGAATCAGTCACGCCTGCCTCATTCTCCTCATACACACACACACATGGCTGATGAATTGTTTTCACGTCTTCTGTGTGAGACTACGTGCGTCTCATCGGATAAGGCACTACACACGGCGAATCGAATTCCAGCGGAAGGCAACGATTTATCCATGAGAAGAAGGAGAAAAAGAAGAAGTTTATACAAAAAAGAAGAGGAAGAAGTATAGTAGTAGAAGAGGAAGAACCAAACTGATTAGAATTTCAAATTGGCAGCCATGATTTTTCGGGTAATTCGTCGGCTTCCCAGGCTCCAATTAAAAAGGCTTTTGCCGCGCGCCACTTAGAGCCAATTTCCTTATGGTTGTAGAGAGTGAGACTAAAATCCGCGTATGAGGTGCCGGTCCATTCTTTGCAAATGTGTTCACCTGGGGCTTGTGAGGATTTATCGCTTGCAAAGAAGGCCGATTAGGATTTGAAATAGAGGTCTGCAATTAAATACCCAGCAAAGTGGTAAATCTATTCCTGGAAATTTAACATTTTTTTAACACTAAATTAGATTAATAGATCGAAATACAAATTTTACGAATATTCGTAATCTTTAGAAATAAATCAATTTCAATTGGATTTCAAGGCTGGACTTTACGCGTATTCAATTTCGAGCGATATTCCTTAAGAATTGTATAGGAAAATTGAGGGAGTAGAAAAGCAGGAAGAGGAGTATATCGTTGAAGCAGTATTTCACATACACGATATACGTTCTGTAACAGTGAAGCACGTCCGCACTGAGTTTAATAAATGCAGTCTTCGTTCCGTTTCTTTTGCCAGAGAGCCATCGACAAAACTCCTCTTTTCTCTCACCGAAATTTCTCTCTCTCTCTCTCATTCCGGCGCTCATTCACATGCAGAACGAATAGCAATTCGGATGGGATAAAAGAAAAAACCCAAATCTTCAGTTCGCGTGATTTTTATTTAATTCCATATCTCTTTTTTCTTTTTTTCACTCTCGAAATTATTTAATAAAACACATTCTTGTGTCATCTTTTCCAATGTCTTTTCATCTCCATACGAGCTGAGTATGGGTCGAACGAAAAGTTTCTAATCCTCCAACCACTAAGTTGGTCCAACTTTACTACCGCAGTGGGGTAACTTCCACTTTGGAGGAGCGAAAACGTGCTGAATTGTCGATCGAGTTTCGTACAACTTCTTAAATACTGATTTTAGAGGAGCAGATCAATTGGTATCGATTACGGTAAACTTTTTGGAGACTGTACAAAAACTTTTTCTACATTATAGATCCCAGGGAGAAAACCAGACTTTTAGGTCTGGCTATTGGTTATAGGATGGAAAATATTCAGAATCCGAGAACCAATTTTTAAGGATTTAACAATTTTGGTTACAAATCCCAAAACCAAAGTTCGTTGAAGACGATATTAAGGCTGATTTTAGTTTTCATTCTAGAACTCCGAATCCAACCGGTTGTACTGAGTACATTATTTTTTAACAAAAAAATAGAACTTAGACGGATTTGCAAACATAAAGAAACCATTGAGAAACTGCAAATTCAATGAAGCCGCGCACATAGAATGGCGTTTCCAAAAGCGACAAAGAAGAATGTACAGTCATACGTCACTCTCTTTTTCCGCAGCATATTCACATCTCATGCAATTTCTCGCTTCTCGGCGCAAAATATTTCCCCTCTCCAGCATATATGTGAGAGTGAATGAGTGAGTGCAGTCGATGATACGGACACGCTTGTCGCGACGGGTTTATGAGCGGTGCAGCATTCTTCAACAGAAGAGAAAGAGAACAAACTCAGAAGGAAGAAGAAGAAGAAAACAGTTACAATACACAAGGAAACGCGAACACACAATTGCAGGGTGCACCGAGTCGAGACAAGTCGCACACGAAACTCGATACACCGCGCACATTCAAGTACATATATAACCTTATACTCGTGTTCGCACCCATTATCCCACACATATATATATACTTTTTGGAACCCCTTGTGAGATTAGCACATGCATGAAGCACAAGTGTCCAGACACTATATATATATAATTCCCTCACATTTGAAATTTCCCAAAGAAATAGAAGAAGAAGAGGGCGGAAAAATTCTCTCTTGCCATGAAAATGTTGAGAAAAATAGAGTTGAGAGAGGTAGAAAAAAAATAACAGAAAAGAAAATTCGTTCGGAGAGTAGCTTTTTTCAAGGAGGATTGGTCAAGAGAGCATGAGACTGAGGATCAGACAAACACTCACACATACTTGGAAGGCTAATTCCTAGGTCTACGATTCGGATTTCATGGTTTTCGAATTGGCTTATCGGATTTTCAACAAATGCCAAGATACGTTGCAAGGGTAGAATTTCGAACCTTGAAGCTAATTTTTGGAACATCGAAACTTTGAACATTCGAATTTTTGGAAGATCAGAACTCTGAAAGAAATATTGAAATCCTGAATCGATAGCTTGGCTAATTCCAGGCGGATAAATCGGAGGTCTCCGAATCTTTGCCTAGGGGTAGAGTACTAATCCTAGCCTAGGAAACAATCAGTTTCGAAAGAATTCCTAATTACCAGACTCCTATTGACCAATTGGGATCAGTTGTAAATTTTCTCGCAGTTCGTTAAAAATCTGTTGTCAGTGCGTGTCTCTTTGGGTTTTATTTACAATCCACAACACTTGCTCCTTCTGTCTCTGGTTTTAGTGTGTCAAAAGAGCAGCTAAACCCTCTTAAAGCCAGAAACTAGTTTAACTGTTCGCGACAAACGGCAACTCCTGATGGAATTAAATAAAAGGGGAACATGCTAACAATGGATTGTAATACCCCGTCTAATACCGTAACACAATAAACTCAGTGACACACAGTCGCATGTCTTTCTCTCCATATAGGGTCTAGAGAGAAAAGCAGCAGCAGTAGCAGCAGCTCATGTCATAAGGCTTTATCGTGACAAATGGCGACGTCGGGTTTGAAAATTTGCCTAATTAAGCGTAACGGCGAGTCTAGGTCGCCAACACCAATGGCCACGTACTCTATATTCTAACGCGATAATTCAAAATTCTGTACATGCACTGCACATAAAATTGCCAGGTGACACAGGATGGTAATTTCATTGTCCACTCCAAAAAAAAAACGGAAAAATGGTAACTAATATTTTTTTTACTAAGAGTAATTTTCGACCAAGGGATCAGTTTTTAATTCTGTTTTTTAACGGGGAAGAGCAACACCTTGTAAAAGCTTCAATCAAGAAAACCGGTTAATAAATTGAGTCTGGAATGAAATAAATTGTTTCATTTCAGTTATATATATAGCCATGGTTTTGTAATTAGGGTCAGAGCCAAAGAAATTCTCGTCCTTCTATGACGAGAACGACACGACGACAACTACTATCCGATCTTCCTTAACGAGAAACTTTCTAATTGGTCGTTATGAGCAAATTCGCTCTCTATTGAAAGAAATTAATTTACAATTTCTTCATATATAATAAAAATTAGTCCTGTAATTTAATTATGTACTATTTTTCCGAGATTTCTCTTTAAAAAAAAAAACCGGTAACACAGTATATTTACGATTCGGAGTTTAATTTAATTATTTTCTTCCTCTTTGTGTTTTTCGGTAGCTCCCAAGCGGAAGCGTTGGGTAATTAAAACAAATAGGTTTTCGTTTCTTTTTTGCTAAAAATGGGTACTATTTGCCGTCGTCGCCGGATGTCGCATTATTTCACTGTTAGTATTTGCCCTCAGTCAGCTCGTATCTTCTGGTTAAGTATATGATACTAACACAAATGCCAATATAACGCCCGTGTGGTATGGCTAATACGCGCAGGGGCTTTAGAGTTATTACTTCAGTTTGCAAACAACGAGAGAGTAATGCAATCAGCGGCGATACAATCTTTTGAGAAGAGAGGAGAAAAAGAAAAAGCTCTCTAGGGGCAGAGATTGGAACAAAAAAAAGAAAATAGCGGTGAAAGTCATAAAAAAAAAATATCATCGACCATGACTAACCGTTTATTCAATAAGCTTTCAAGGTCGTGTTCAGAATACAACTTGGTGCTCGCAAATTAATCTCAGAGATTGAATTACCAATCAGTTTTCATTCTTTGCCATTTCCTTTCTTTTTTTTTGGTTCACTTTTTTTTTGTGATTGCAATCTTTATTTTGAATTCGCATTAATTTTTCTAATTAGAAAAAATTCTAAGATAAATGGGAACTTCTTTTTCTTTTTGAAAAGGGAAATTTGCCCCGCCCCGGATTTATATTTATTGAAAATCAAATTGAAAGAATCGATAAGAAGACTGATTGCGGGCGCGCCAAACCCACCTACGAATTTTCTGATTAATAACCGGTTTTTGCCGGGTTGCACGCGTATATATAATAAGCATATAAGATCGCGATAACTTAGATTAAGTGCCTTCATTTTCTCCGTAAAGACGATTTGAATAATGTAAAAAAAAACCGATTTTTATGGGGTGAAAAAAATTTGCCAAGAA